AAAAAAAAAAAAAAAAAACACCAATTAAGAGCACCCTCTAAATGCCAAGTCACAATGCCATATATTTTGCCTTTAGCCTCATAAGAATCCTATTAAGTTGGAGTATTATATTCTTTTTATAGATAAGAAAACACAAACGCAGAGATTAAATCACCTGCCCAAGGTCACTTAACAAATGAAAATGGTGAGAACTGGAATCTGTAACATTAATGCAGTATTAGGCAACTTGTCATAGAAACTAAGCAGGTCTATGTTTACTTGTATTCCAACAGGCTATACATTAACTTAGTTCAGAATTCAAAGGCACAGCAAAAAAGCTCCTTCCAACCCATTCCCTAGCCATCCAGTTCTCCCTGGGGGAATCTATTTCACCAAGTCATAAAATGTATCCTTCCAAATATTTTTTATATATACAAATAAGAACATATATTTATACTGTAGAGACAAGGTCTCACCATGCTGTGCAGGTTGGCTTCAAACTCCTGTGCTCAAGGGATCTCCCACCTCAGCCTCCAAAGGAGCTGGGCTTACAGGAGCCACAGCACCTGGCTCATAGCACTTTACTAACCCTTTTTAATAAAGGGTTGAGTACTATATTTTATACACTCACACTGTATCACACCTTATTTTGTATTACTCTATCTACACAATAAATAAAGGGCTGTCTCGTTTTATTTTACAGCTGCAGAGTATTCCAATGAATGGGCATATTCATTTAGCCAACACCCCACTGAACATTCAGGTGTTTCCCATCTCTTTCTGCTATGAATACTGCTAAAAAGAAAGTCCCTTGTATGTAGATAATTCACATGCTCATAAGTATATCTCTAAAATTAATTCCTGTACATAGAAATATTGGATTGAGGGATTCATACATTTGAAATGCTATTAGGTACTACCGAATTGCCTTCCAAAGAGACTCTAACAATTTACATGCCCAGCAGTGTACAAGTCCCATCTCCCCACAACCAGCCAAAACAATAAGACTTGACCTTTGCTAATCTAATGAAGAAAATTGGTTTAAGTGTACTTCTTTCTCATTTGCATCTCCCATATAACTCTATATTCAAAGATTGCTTAGAATTTAAAATTACAAATTACTCATCAAAAACTAAAACAAAACCTCAGGAGGGGGCCTCATGATTTCTGTCTCATCAGAAGGTGGCCTCTCTAAAGGAGTATAAAGTCACAAAAAAGGACTTCTCAGCAGACAGGACTGAAGACAGTACAAATTGTACCTGTGCCATAATTACCCAAAAGTATACCTACAGTTACCACTACAAAATAAACTATTTTCCCCAGTCTGTTTATAAACAAAAGCATGGGAGGCCAGCCTCGGATACTCATCCCTGTAACCCCAGCACTTTGGGACGTCAAGGTGGTCGGACTGCCTGAGCTCAGGAGCTCGAGACCAGCATGGGCAACACAGGGAAACTCCATTTCAACCAAAAATACAAAAAATTAGCCAGCTGTGGTGGTGCGCACCTGTGGTCCCAGCTACTTGGAAGGCTGAGGTGGGAGGACTGCTTGAGGTGGGGTGTCACTCACCACACTCCAACCTGGGCAACAGGGTGAGAATTTATCTCAAAAAAAAAAAAAAAAAGCACAGGACCTCGAGAAATCCAAGTGATTGGGATATAACTAACATACAAATTTGATCTTGCTGTTAAACTAGAAGAGAGAATTATGAGTAAACATCCTCATAAATAATAATTTCTGGGCTGGGCAAAAGCAGATTGGTAAGATCAATCCTCCAGGCTAGAAACGGGTCCTGAGAGACATAAAATTTTCTACTTGATACTAAGTTATATCTTTAATGCTCTAGGAACACACGACAAGATGAATGAAAAGGACTGAGTAGAAAGACCAGTGAGCCGAGAAATGACCAACAAAAAAGCAATAGAGGAAGCTAAAAGCCGCTTGGGAATCCCTGAGCAGCTCCCCTCAATCTACTTTTCATACTTCGTGGCTGACCAAAAAAGTCTACTTTCCCCTTTCCTCATAACTGATACAATTCATTACAAACCTTTGGAATTCATTTTTCCCAAACCTAGTTAGATTCAGGTTCTCCAGTGACACTTAATGTTGGGTCATGGAGGATGGCGCATTTCGGAAGATCTGTCCAGTACTAAAAATATATATACAGAGGGCTGGGCGCGGTGCCTCACACCTATAATCCCAGCACTTTGGGGGCCGAGGTGGATGGATCACTTGAAGTCAGGCTTTCGAGACCAGCCTGGCCAACACGGTGAAACCGCGCATCTACTAAAAATGCAAAAACTAGCCGGGTGTGGAGATACACGCCTGTAATCTTAGCTCCTCGGGAGGCTGAGGCAGGAGAATCACTGAACCAGGGAGGCGGAGGCTGCAGTGAGCCGAAATCGCCCGCTGCACTCTAGCCTGGGCGACAGCGAAACTCGGCCTCAAAAACAAACAAAATATATATATATATATATATATATATATACACCAAATAAATTTGGTAAGCTTTAAGATTTTCCCCACTTCTGTTTAACATTATTACAAAAAGCGGGTATGACTGTTCATTGCATCTTCCCCATCTTCCAGGGAAACATCTTCGCATTTAAACTCTGTCCGCTACTTCGCAAATGAGAAAATAGAGTCTGAGAGGAGAAAAGCTGCCTATCAAAATACAAATTCAAACCCGAGTCTTGGCTCTAAAGACTGTTTCCGTTATTTACGCTTTTAACATGCTCCATCTTTCCACTTTTTTTCTTTTTCTCACAACCAAGACAGACATCCTTTCACCTTCTCATCGGTGTTCCATTTACTCTTCCCAGAGGAAGACATCCTTATCTCCCGCTGCTTATCAGACCTCCCTCTTCTGAGGCCCCAAGAGTTAAAAGCAATCTCCACACGACCTATTTTGAGCTAGCACATGTTCCCACTCTGCGGATGGAAGCTAGAGATGATTGCAGGAAGCCGTTTTCGCGCCCCAACCATCCCTCTGCACCTCCTCCTGGTCCCCGGCCTCGCACCCGCCAAAATCTCGGACCCCCTCCGTTCTATATGGCCGCTCTCCGCCTCCCCGGGCCCAGGGAAGTCTCCAGACTGTATTTTTTACCCTGCAGTGAGAAAGATGGCGTGGATATCCGACGGATGCTACGTCCCTTCAAAAACTAAGCTACCACCAACTTCAACCTACTGTCGTCCGCCATTAGACCTCAAGACAGGGACCTTCGGTGGCGCGCGGCGGAAAAAGGCACCCAAGCCGCGCCTGAAGAGTGTAAGTTTTAAAAAAAATGCTTCCGTCTTGCCGCCAGACAGCATTAAAAATTATTTAAACATGCTTTTTTGCTTTGCTTTTTCCAGCAGAAGAGAAAAATAGTAGGCTTTTAGAAGTAGACGTTAAAAAACAACACACACTAATTCATTGGGCACTTCTGTAGGCAGCCCCAAAGAGGCGCCAACGAAGACGGGAGCCTCGCGGGACCGGAAGTGCCGAATGGGGAGCAAGATGGCGGACCTCGAGTCGCCTCCGAAGTTGTCAGGGGTGCAGCTGCCGTCTGAGGGGGTGGGAGGTGGCCGCTGCTCCGAAATCTCCGCTGAGCTCATTCGCTCCCTGACAGAGCTGCAAGAGCTGGAGGCTGTATACGAACGGCTCTGCGGCGAGGAGGTGCGGGACCGAGCCTCCTACTTTCTGGAGGATCTAGGGACAGTGGGAGCCTTCAGTCGGGAAATCCGGGCTGTGGGAAGCTCTCCTTGCTGGGGGGATAAAAAAAGCGGGAAAACAAAGAAGCAGAAGCGTAGTCGGGTATATGAAAAGAACTGTCAACTCTTCACGCTGTCCGACGCGCCAAGCTTGTCTTCCCTGATAATCTGGGCGATCTGCAGCCTCTCCTCCCTAGACCCCCGTGGATTTCCCAGATCCGTAGCCACCAGTTTCTCCACGGTAGTGAAGTTAGTCTGAGAATATATGCCAAAGTGCTTGGTTCTCAAAATAATAAGAGCTGTTTTTCATTGGCTTAATTTACAAATTATGAAACGCTTTCATCCTGTTTTCTCATTTAAGAGGGAAGGTTTTGCAGATAAACTTCTTGAAGTGTTTTAAGACTTCCTCTTTTGGGGAGTGATTTAGGTGTATGATTTTAGTATTTCGGCCAAATGCACATCTTTGTCTTTGAGCTTATTTTCAGAGTCAGGTATAACTGTCTAAGCTTGGGCAAGTCACTTCATCTCTTGTAACCTTGACATTTTATCAAATGAGGGGTGTGGACTAGATTCTCCGATTCCGTTCAGTTCATAACGTTCTGTCTCCTGCCTCCTTTAATCTTCAGTGGCAACCCGATGCTGTCAATTCACTTCAGAATGTCAGTTGGGTTCCTTGCCAGTTAAAAGAGATCTAAGCTCTAATCTATCCTTTTCAGCTATTTCCCAGACCACCCTTATAGCAAAGTTGAGCACAAAAGGCAGTTTCAGCCCGAGGGAGAGGGAATCGTTGATATCTTTGAGTATTTTGAAGTATAGACTTGCACTAACTCTAGCACTTTCTGACACATTTTTCAGCAAGATGTGTGTGGGTTTTTTGTTTTGTTTTGTTATTTTTAGAAACAGGACGGCTCTCTGTTGCCCAGGCTGGAGTGCAATGGTGCTACAATCAGAGTCTATGAAACTATAGACACACACCACCATGCCTGCCTAGTTTACTCTGTGTGTGTGTGTGTTTTTTGTCTGGCCTCAGCAAGATGTGTTTTAAAATTTACTATCTTCTGGACATGGTGGTTCACACCTGTAATCCCAGCACTTTGGGAGGACAAGACGGGCCAATCATCTGAGGTCAGGAGTTGGAGACCAGCCTGACCAAAATGGCGAAAACCTGTCTTTACTAAAAATACAAAATTCGCTGGGTATGGTGGCATATGCCTGTAATCCCAGCTACTCGGGAGGCTGAGGCAGGACAATCCCTTGAACCTGGGAGGCGGGGGTTGCAGTGAACCAAAATAGCCCCGTTGAACTCCAGTCTGGGCAACAAGAATGAAATTCCGTCTCAAAAAAAATTTAGTATCTTAACGTTCCTAGGCTTGCATTCATTAAGGCATTCAATACGTTAGGTGGAAAATTATGGAAATCTTACAGACAAAATAATGTAAGTTCTGTATTCGTATTTGATAACTGTCAGGAGGAAGTTTCCCTCTGGAGCCTACTGAACGATTTTAATAAAAATGTATGTATATGGCCTGGCATGGTGGCTCACACTTGTAATCCCAGAACTTTGGAAGGCTAAAGCAGGTGGATCACCTGAGGTCAGGGGTTCAAGACTAACGTGGCCAACATGGTGAAACATCGTCTATACACTAAAAATATAAAAGCCGGGCGTGGTGGTTGGTGCCTATAATCCCAGCTGCTGAGTGAGGGTGGTGGTGGCGGAGGTTACATTGAGCCTAGATCGTGCCACTTCACTCCAGCCTGGGTGAAAGAGCAAAACTCCATCTCAAAAAAAAAAAAAAAGTATAGCTGGCTAGGCATAAGTACCCGGTTTTTTGGGAAGCTGAGATAGGCAGATAGCTTGAGCCTGTGAGTTGGAGACCAGCCTGGGTATTATAGTGAGACCTCATCGCTACAGAAAATTAAACAGTGAGCATAGCAGGGTGGTACACACCTATAGTCCCAGCTATTTGGGAGGCTGAAGTAGGAAGAGTCCTTGAGCCCCTGCCCCCCCAAAAATAAAAATGTATGGTTAATTTTAATGGCTATTGTTGAACTGTATGCCGCATACCATGTTAAGCACTTTGTATGGTTTCCTGTTTAACAGCCCAGTGTGGTATGTATTGCTATCCCTGTTTTACAGATGAAAAAACCGAAGCATTAAGACGTTACATAAGTTGAGGTTGCACAATAAATGGCTTGAATGAGAGAGAATTAGAATTGTATTGATTACCTCTGGCTACTGACTATACACCAAGAAGAAAAATTTTTGTAACTGTCACTGGAAATTTCATTTGTTTAGTCTTTAATTTTTATTTTATTTTATTTGTTTGAGGCAGAGTTTCACTGTTGTTGCCCAGGTTGGAATGCAATGGTGCAACCTCAGCTGACTGCAACCTCTGCCTCCCAGGTTCAAGCGATTCACCTACCTCAGCCTCCTGAATAGCTGTAATTAGAGGCGCCCACCCCCACACCCAGCTACTTTTGTATTTTTAGTAGAGATGGGGTTTTACCATGTTGGCCAGGCTGCTCATGAACTCCTGACCTCAGGTGATCCATGCACTTCAGCCTCACAAAGTGCTGAGATTACAGACCACTGTACCAGGCCAAGCATTGTATTTTAAATGACTTCCTGTATTAGACACTATGCTAATGATACTGATTAAAAGTTAATTTCTTCCCATTGTGGTTTTCATCTGCCAGATGGAATAAGATATATGTAAGATAACAATCATGCAATGTAAGTGCACACTGAAGTATGGTTAAAGTTTAGGGAGAGCATAGTGGAAGGAAAAAAGGATTTGGAAATGAGATTGACCCTTCAGCCAAGTGATTGGATTAGATAACTCTTAGGGTTCTTTCTGATCTTTCTGCTGACAGGATGTTTCTCTGTGTTTCAGAAAGTGGTGGAAAGAGAGCTAGATGCCCTTTTGGAACAGCAAAACACCGTTGAAAGTAAGATGGTCACTCTCCACCGAATGGGGTGAGTCTGTGCATCTCAGCAAGGGCTAATGTAAATTCCAGCAGGGTCAACTGGACAAGTTATCATTTTGTTTAACTTTCTGTTATAAACACTAGTTGAGCCTGAAGTATAATAAAGTGTATTATCTCAAGGAAAAGTGAACACCTAAGGGTATTAGTTGGATGGTTCTCAAAGAGTCCTTGGACCAATAGTACCAGCATCATACCTTGTTAGAAATGCAAATTCTGGGTCCCCACTCCAAACTTACCAAATCAGAAACTCTGGGAGTGGGGTCCAGGAAGATGTATTTTAATAAGCCTACCCAGTGATCCATTGATTCTAATACATAGTCCAAGTTTGAAAACCACCTTTTTTTTCTTTTTTTCTTTTTTTTTTTTTTGAGACAGAGTTTTGCTCTTGTCCCCCAGGCTGGAGTGCAGTGGTGAGATCTCAGCTTACTGCAACGTCCGCCCCCCAGGTTCAAGCGATTCTCCTGCCTCACCCTCCTGCCCTCCTGAGAAGCAGGGATTACAGGCTCCTGCCACCACACACAGCTAATTTTGTATTTTTAGTAGAGATAGGGTTTTACCATGTTGGCCAGGCTGGTCTGGAACTCCTGACCTCAGGTGATCCACCCACCTCGGCCTCCCAAAGTGTTAGGATTACAGGCATGAGCTACTGCGCCCAGCGGAGAACTACCATATTAATAAGAGTATGTACTGGCCCAGCATGGTGACTGACACCTGTAATCCAAGCACTTTGGAGGCCAAGGTGGGCAGATCACCTGAGGTCGGGAGTTCAAGACCAGCCTGACCAACATGGTGAAACCCTGTCTTTTTAAAAAAAAAAAAAAGAGTGTGTACTTGCTAGTCATTAAAATTATTCCTTGGCTGGGTGCAGTGGCTCATGCTTGCAATCCCAGCACTTTGGGATGCTGAAACTAGAGGATTACTTTTGACCCTGTCTCAAAAACAAAAAAATAAAAATAAATAAATTAGCTGGGCATGGTGGTGTGCGCCCGTAGTCTTAGCTACTCAGGAGGATCTCTTGAGCCCAGAAGTTGGAGCTCATGATCATGCTATATTGAGCTGTGATCATGCCACCACACCCTAGCCTGGATGGCAGAGTGAAACCCTGTCTCAAAAAACAAAGTTGTTCCTTGATCTCACCATCCTCTCAGATAGTACTGGTTAGTGCATCTTATGCTCACTTAGCAATTGAGAGACTTTGTTCTCTAGTTCTTTGGCTATACCTATTTAGGGGTGTCTTTATTGGTTTTAGAAGTTAATTTTGGCCAGGCGCAGTGGCTCATACCTATAATCTCAGCACTTAGGGAGGGCAAGGCAGATGGATCATGAGTTGAAGAAATCAAGACCATCCTGGCCAACACGGTGAAACCCTGTCTGTACTAAAAATACAAAAATTAGCTGGGTATGTTGGTGCACCCCTGTAGTCCCAGCTACTCAGGAGGCTGAGGCAGGAGAATCTCTTGAATCAGGAGGCAGAGGTTCAGTGCACTCCAGCTTGTTCACAGAACCAGACTCCATCTAAAAAAAAAAAAAAGTTGCCGGGCGCGGTGGCTCAAGCCTGTAATCCCAGCACTTTGGGAGGCCGAGGCGGGTGGATCACGAGGTCAAGAGATCGAGACCGTCCTGGTCAACATGGTGAAACCCCGTCTCTACTAAAA